AGCAGCAGCAGCAGCTGCTGCTGCTGCTACTGGGACTCTTGCTGCTGCTTTACTCTGCATTCCTGCGGCGCTTCGAGAACCAGCTGGAGGGGGCTTTTTCTGTTGGGATATTTGCTGCTTGGGCCAGCAGCTGCTGCTGCTGCTGCCGCTGCGTCTCGAGCTGCATCTGCTGCAGGTGGTACTGGTACTCTATCTGCTGCTGCGCCTGCTGGGGAGTGAGGGTCTGCTGCTGCTGTTGCTGCTGCTGCAGCTGCGGAGGAGTGGTGGTCTGCTGCTGCTGCTGCAGCTGGGGGGGAGTGACCGTCTGCTGCTGCTGCTGCGGTTGTTGCGGCTGCTGCTGCGTCTGCTGCTGTTGCGGCTGCGGCTGCGTCTGCTGCTGGAGTTGCTGCGGTTGCGGCTGGGGCTGCTGCTGCTGCTGCTGCTGCTGCTGCGGGAGCAGCTGCTGTCCCTGCGCTTCTTCTATTTGGGCGAAGAAAGGCTGCTTCTTGCTTTTCTTCTCTGCTGCACTTTTCTTTTGTGTCTGAAATAAAATGAAGTAAAATTCAATTAAATAAAATTAAATAAAGCAGTTGGGGCCTGCTGCTGCGGTGCGCTGGGGTGTATGTACTCACTGCTGCTGCGGGTTTGGCTTTTTCGATTTTCTTGGCGGGTTTTGCTGCAGTTTTATTTTTCCTGTCTTTTTGTTTTGGAGTTTTTTCCTGAAGTCTTCTAGATTTCTTTTTTTGTTTTTTTGTCTTTTTGCGTTTCTCGAAGTCCCGCTCCTCCTCCTCCTCCTCGGCCTCTTCCTCTTCCTCTGCTGCTGCTGCTGCTTGCTGCTGCTCCTCCTCCTCCTGCTGCTGCTGCTCCTCCTGCTGCTGCTGCTGCTGCTGCTGCTGCTGCTGGCTCCGCAGCCGCGAAAGCTTCTGCTCCAAACGCGTCAACTTGTCCAAATAAATTGTAATCTTCTCGTCAGCCAGCTGCACGTCATGTTTGAGAAACAAAACGTCGGCCTGGGACTGCAGCAGAAGTTCAAAAAAATAATTCAACAAGTCCAAGTGCAGCAGAGGGCTGCAGCAGCAAGTGCTCATTCAAAAGGACAAATAAACAAATAAAATGCCATTATTAGTTGCGTTTTGCTTTTTCTGTTTGCTTTTGTGCAGTTAATTGTGTTTTATTATTTGTTCTTGTGCAAATAATTATGTGCATGTGCTTGCATGCAGAAGGTAAGGAGGATTTAAACAGAAAAGGACATAAAAGGAATATAACACAAATAAAATTTAAATTTAAATTTAAAATCAAAAGTGCAGCAAAAGATATTCACACTCCGCAACAAAGCAGCAATTGAAGGGCTCTTCAGCTTCCATTTTTACGCAGCATTCAACTTGCAAAAGAATCAAAAATAAATCGAAATAAATTAAAAAGAAATGGAAATAAATTGAAAAGAAATTAAAATGAATCAAAAAGAAATTAAAAATAATTGAATTTCAACTTCTCACCGCAGAGCCCTCCACGGCGTTCGAAGCCACTTGCCGCAGTTCTTGCTGAACTCTTCTTCTGTCGGCTTTGCTCTGAAATGCGAACAAGTCCATTGCAGGCAAACAATTAATTAAATTTAATTAAATTAATTAAATTGATTTAATTCAATTAGTTTAGTTTAATTGAATTGGTTTGTTTAATCAAATTGCGGGAATTAGTTGAATTAATTTCACGTATTTCGTTTAAGTGAAGAGAATGAGCAGCACAAAACGCAGCAGCAGCGGGAGGGACCAATTTATCAGCAGCAGCAAAAGAGCCATTTTAGGAAATTAATTTTGAAAGAATTTAAATTCGAAAGACTGCAGCATTAAGAGAAAAGGCAATTCCACGAAGACTAGAAGCTGCTGCTGCTGCTGCTGCGGCCAGAGGCACTGCAGCAGCTCGAAAAGGCATTTGAAAAGAAAAAGAAGCAAAAGAGAGCAGCACGAAGCCTGGCAAACAGCGCTCCGCGGTAACGCAGCAACAGCAGCAGCAGCAGCAGCAGCAGCAGCAGCAGCAGCAGCAGGAAAAGGGAAGTTTGTACCTTGGTAAGCTCTTCTTTGGTCTCTTCGATTTCTCTTTCCAACTCGGATTCCGTTTTTCCTTTTATTGTTGCCATTTCCGTCAACTCGGCGCTTCTGGCCTCCCGCATTTCGGGGGAGTTCAACTTTCCGAGGCAAGCCACGGCTCTTGCAAATTCAAGTTTTTCTCTGGAAAGCGGGAAAATAAGAGCATTTTGGAGGTTAAAAAGTGCAATTTTCGGAATAATTTTAGTTTTTTGATCTATCATTTTGATTTTTTCGGTCTTTTCGATCTTTTTTTTTGTTCAAGTTGCATTTTGCAAGTTCCACCCACGTGGGCGTCGGCTCCGGCGGCAGCAAAATGATCACCGGCGCGGTGTACTGGGAGTCTTGAGCTGGAAAGATTGGAAACAGTTTGAAATTAAAATCATTTGTTTCATTTTGTTTCATTTTATTCCTTTTCAAATTCGCATGCAGCCTCGAAACACCCACGAGCTGCTGCCGCCGTCAACTCCAGCCCCTGTGCAAGTTGCTGCTGCAGCAGCTGCTGCTGCTGCTGCTGCTGAATTCCAAATTACCGTTTGCGCTTCGGGCGGCGGCGGCGGCTGCACCACTGAGGCCGAGTAGTCCACTCCCTGCGCAGCAAAACATAATTTGCAAACAATAATTTGCAAAAAATTAAAAGAAAAGTGCAGCGAAAGTGAAGCAAAAAGCAGCAAAAATGAGCCAAAAAGAGGTCCATTTAGGCATTAAAACCATTAGAGATAACTCGGAAATTAAATATGAAAAGAACTCGTCTTTTGCGCGAATTCAAGTCGACAAGCTGCTGCTGCTGCTGCTGCTGCTGCTGCAGCAGCAGCAGCAGCAAAAGGAAGCGCACCTTGCGGACGTGGGACTGAGTGGCTGCGGACAGCATCTGGAAGCAAATGGAGTTTTGGAAATTGAAATAAAGAATTATGTTGGAAATTGAAAAATTACGTCAACAGCTTCTTTGAGTTTGTTTCCGAGCTTTGTTGCTGCAGAGAAAAACAAATGAATTAAAACAAAAGAAAGTTTCCGTCTTGAGCGTCATTACTCTTTTCGATTTCCGCGTCCACTGCCTCCTGGTCTGCAGCCTGGAGAGCGAGGGTTTAGGGTTTAGGGTTTAGGGTTTGAACGCGGCGACATTTGAAGCGCCTTTCCAAAACCCTTACGATGGCGTCCAGGTCCACTGGGGGGAGCCCTGCAGCAGCAGCAGCAGCAGCTTCAGGAGCTGCAGCAGTAACGCCTTGTGCTGCAGCAGGAGCAGCAGCAGCAGCAGCAACGGGAAGCCCCGCTGCAGCTCCCATCCCGGCCACGGGGGCCCCTGCCAGGGTCCCGAGGGTGCCAGTTAGGGCCCCCCCGGCGATGGCGCCGAGAAAGCGCTCTGAAGCAGACCCAAGGGAATTAAAAATAAGTTTTTGAAATGAAAGAAATAAATAAAACTGAAGATCAGCGTGTACCTTTGGCCTGCGCGAACCGCGAAAGCGGCAGGCCGGCCGCCGCGGGCTCAGCGAGCTCATTTTTCCCGCGCGGCTCGCCGGAAGAAAGCAACGGGAAAAGGAAAAATAAACATAAAAGGGCCTTTAAAAGGCAGGGAAAGTGAAGATCTTCCATTCTGAAATTGTTTCAAGAGCTCTAAGTGAATGGATCGCCGGCTGTTCAACTTGAACGCGAGTCTGCACGTGGCGGCGCTTCGGGTGTATGCACAGCAGGAACGTGAAACTTGAAAAATTAAAAACTTTCCGTTGTTGGAATTTGAACACTTTAACCGAATATTTAATCCGAAATGCAATTGAACCCCCGCTATTTGCACGTGTCTTTCTCAACCAGGTCACTCGCGGAGCGCGGCGCAATGTGCCTCGATCACCGGCGATTTTTCCGGTTTCTCTTGCTTTTAGTGGAACCTAAATGCGAAATAACTTAATTATTCTCTTAAAAAGATTTTTTGTCGCGAGGTTTCCCCGATTTGAGGGTCGCGTGGGGATTTAGCGCGTGCGTTCCTTGCGTGTCCAGTGGTCTCAGCGTGCTTGGAGGCGCGGCTTCACGGCGGGCGGGCGGAAGCTCCAGCGTCGGCGCCCGCGTTGACTGACGCGAATTATAGAGCCGAATGCAGAATTGAAATTTGTTTTT